CACAAGGAACTAAAGCTCAAACAAAAGACAAAAATAAAACTAAAATAAACAAAAAATATGAAGAAGAATAACATGGGTGATAAACCCTTGCTTATTCTAGACATCCTACAGACAGCTTTCTTTGAATCGTTTCTTAAACCTTTTTGGACTTGGAAATTTCTTTTCTACTTTTTATTTTCAATTGTCACTCATTCTTGGTTAAAATCATTCTCTCCTTGGAATTATCTCTAATCGGATTCTCAACAACGTTATTGCTTATGCACGATCTGGTGTTTCCTACTAGTAGACAGTTCAGATGTCGGGTTAGTGAGGTCATCTGGTCGATCTACAAGAAGAACAAACCAGAGTGTCTGGGTTGCTTGACTTAGAGTGGGCACTCCGATGCCTAAGTCAATGAACTAGTATTTGATTGTATAAAATCTAGAGAACTATGAGAGCTAAATCGCGTATACATCTTCTATGAAAGGGGATGTCTTTATATAGGCCATCAGTCGTGAATTCCACAAAGTGTGTCTGAGATCTTCGACCCTCTGATTCAGAGGTGGTTTCATGCTCGAAAGTGGACTCCACGTAAGCGGGTAATGCCTATCCAATTGCGCCCGAAGCAGGCAGGGCGGTAAACAACTCCTTCTATGTGGCATCGTGATCTAGATGAAGTCGGAGGCGACAACTCACTAGAGGAGGAGCCCACCTGTCGCGTCACACATGTCGCTAAGTGATTCACTACTAGGCCAGCGGAGGTAAGTCGACTTGACATCGCCCGATCTAATTACAGGTCCTCCTGCCTAGGTGAGGCCGAGGAGTCCATGACATGGGCAAGGTGTCTATCGTGCTTCCAAAGTTTGTTTACGTGGCGCTGAATTGTCGTTTGGGAATTTCGTGGAGCCACATGTCCCGATGTTACTGGAGGGCCAAATCCGCCCTCATCAGTTATCATCTTTCTATGCTGGAGTGATGACTTGACCAGGATTTTTATTCTTGTTTGTTTTAAGAACGCTCCAAACCCTAAACTAACAAGCACTATTAAAAAGGAATTCTACATTCTCTTTATATCGAGTCTAATCGCATGATCATCCCAACACCATTGACATTATGGATTTATAGGCCACGAAAACTTGGTCGCCATCACCCATCACCACCTTTGTTGATGCCTCCTACAAAAGTGTTTGTTCCATTAGATCCTTAATACTTAATCCATCTCCTGCACTAAGAGGTGTCTTTTGTATTCTTTTCAAGTTTTGTTGTTTAGATGATTTCACATGCACTATATTAATCATAAAAAAGGTTCATGAATTTTTTATTTTTATTCTAAATATCAGGGTGAATTTATAGAATAATTTATTGATATATGATTTCAGAAAAAACATAAATAACGATAAATTATTGGTTATGGGATCTCCAATCACCATTTAGCAGTCCTTATATTTCATGTATATAATTGATGGGAATTTATAGACAGTTGCAATGAGTTAAATGAAAATAGTGGGTGATAACAAGGTCAGAACCGGAGAGTGTACGTGGCAATTTATGATAAGATCAAATACTTGAATGATCAAAAAAGAACATTGGAAAACAAAAATTGATGAAGGTAAAGATGGAAAGTAAAATCAAGATATAACCATGTTAACAGTTTGCATTTTCATTTTCTATCGTTGGAAAAAGTTTGATGGACAGTGTATGTCCTCATGAATCATGATAGTTAAATAAATTACTGGAAAAACAAAAATTATAAAGGGTAAAAAGGGAAAGTAAAATCAGGCTTTTTACTAAAAATTAGTATACGGCCTCAGGAATCGTGATAACTAAATAAATTACTGGAAAAACAAAAATCATAAAAAGGAAAAAAGGAAAGTAAAATCAAGCTTTTTAACTAAAAATTGTTACCATCCTATTTTTTTATAAATGGAATACACAGATAAGATACAGACAGATTTGTAACGTTTAAATTGTGATATGAACGCTTGTGTACACCCTGGGCCTATTACTGTCCAAGGCTAGTCCAAAGTCCAAACTCTATTTGGGACCCAAATTTTAGTCAAGGCCGGATCTTGGTACTAAAAGCCCAGGACCTGTGTCGGCTCAATGTTGGATCGGGCCTTGTTGGACTCATGCAAGCATGACTCATAGTCGAAGCCCTTTTTTTGGTATTACTATTAGCCAACAAGAACTTTTCGACATGTGGTGACATGCCAGCTTTGTTGGTTATTATTGGTTGTCTTGATTGGAGAAGCATTCTATTTAGAGATATATCCAGGTTGTTAGATAGATTTGATGAGGCTTGCCTGATCTTACTCTTTGACTGAGGAGAGCAAACCCTAGTTACAATCATGGACAATAATCACTCAACATGCTTGGTGCAAAATCAATCAAATTAAATTAGTATGTTTTCTCTCATGTGAAGTGTTTTTCTTGTTGTGAGGTTCAATAAAAAATCAAAACCATCCGCTTTGAAAAGAGATTACTTCTTAAAACAAAAAAAAATAATAATAATAATAAAATAGAAAACAGGCGCTTGATTGTATGTGTGGTTTTCTTTTTCAAAAATGAAAACTCAAACTTGAGAGCTTCACTAGGTTTTAGACCCCGGTTGTTTGAATCCTCTATGGGAAATTGGGAATTGAGGATACTGGGTCTGTCATGATGGCAGTATTACAAATAGAATTATAGAGGATACTAATTTTTGTCTCAAAAGAGGAGAACATATAAAATACAAGCAGATCTATTGCTTGGAAGATCTATTGCTTGGAAGGCAACTGCCGATAGATGAAACCAGATCTATTGCTTGGAAGGCAATTATAATAATAATAATAATTATTATTATTATTATTATTATAATTATTATTATTATTATTATTATTATTAATTAAAGATGTTAATGGTTCAGGTACAGGTTTTTTTCAACACAAGTGACAAGCCCAACCCAAAGCCACCCAGTCTGCACTGCCCCGCCTTATGAACAGTATCACCTTTGTTATTAAAGGTTATAATGTTATATTAACAAGTTTTCAATGTTACTACGCCCATGGGTTTGGAACAGTTCAGCCTACTGACACAAAACCTGATTAAGACAAATCCTGACTCGACCAGACCTTTGTTTTTTTTTTGGTAGAAGACTCGACCAGACCTGGGGATTATGGCTATGGAAGACCTGGTTGTTTATCAGCATTCCTCTTTACACTTGCTACTTGTAAAATTGGTAAAGGGTGAAGCTGGTCCAATTTGATAGAGAAAAAAAAAAACAGGGAATGCATACTTATTACAAGTCTATGTGAATTAATACTTTGCAAATAATATATCAGACACGAACCGATTGTAAATTTGTAAATTTGTAATTTAACATGAGCCCATTATAATTTCTGAGTTTTATATAAATATATAATCTACTTAAGAGATTTTTTTGGTAAACATAAGTTATACTCATTTTATATAAAATGTTCACACATGAACCCACTCTTGTAAATTAATATGCATGATATATACAAAATTAAATAATATACTATAGAAGTGAGTGGTAGAAATCCTACGAATTAATATATACAGCGAAGAGAGAACGAAGAATAGAAAAGAATGTTAAGGAAATCAAGATGAAGAGAACAATACAGTATACACAGACCAACGTGCTTTAACATATTGACTTATGTCCACGTATATGTAGGATCCTAACGAAATTCCACTATATTCATTCATTAGTTACAGCTGTAGTTAACAAAAATGCTAGTATTAATATTGTTGAGCCAGGGTTTATTATTGTTGATACCCTGATCCACTTTTAATTTATCAAAATACTCCTTGTACGGACAAATTTGGCATATTCTTAGACCTTCCCTTTCCCGGGTAGGGATGCGAACGGATCAAATTGGATTTGAATTGGGATAATCCGAATCTGATCTGACACAATTTTTGTCGTATTTGATCAGATCTAGTAGGATTCAATTTGAATTCGAATCCTATCAGTAAGTCAGATCTTTAGATGTGATTTGATCCGATCAGACTTGTTTTTTTTTAATTAATAAATTATTAAAAAATAAAATATATTAATTTAAATAAAGTAAAAAATAATAAAAAATACAAGTATTTTATATTATTTTTATCAGATATATACATGTTTTTTTATAAATAAATAAATAATATAATAAATTTATAAAAATATAATATAAATGATATATTAATAAATAAATAAATATCATATATATATATATATATATATATGTATTTTAATATATCGAATCGGATCTTCTCAGATCGGATAGGGGTGATCCGAATCCAATCCATTTTTTTATCAGACCTATTATCCAATCGGATCCAAAGAGGCGTGATCTGAATTCGACCAAATAGGATTTTTAAAAAGATGATGAGAGATGAATAATGAAAAGTGAAAACATGTTTTTCAAACCAAAATTTTTTTCAGAACATGTTTCCCATTCAAACCTTATGGTTTTTATTTGTTTTTGAACTCAAGGAAACAATTCACATCAGACAACGCCCCCTACGATGGTCTTCACACTTCTGTCGGAATCAGATGACAAAATGAAGAAGTTAAGGGCATAACTCATAAGATCCTAAAGATTCAAAAGGTTAGGAGGATAGTAGTTGCTAGGTAATTGAAATTCAAATACTCGACACGGCCTTTTATACTTCTATAACCTACGATGTTACATGTAAAACACGGAAGTTCTAGTTTTGAATCAACTCAAAAATGAAAAATCTTTTCTAAAGAAATCGGCAGTTGCCGAGGAAACTACAAGAGGCACTAAATTTTCACAAATATTAATTCAAAGTCCCCCACAGATGATCTAGTTGCACATGAAATTGCCTTGAATGATATTAGTGCTAATGAAAGAGAGAGCACGTACTCACGTAGATGTGAAAGACGGCCAAAAAAAGATCCAAAACTCAGGGGAGAGAGGCTTGCTTTTTGAGGTGTTACTCTATTACAGAAACAATAGCAAGTTGATGAAAATGAATAGCAAACTATTATCTATTTAAAGTGGCTTGATGAATTCACTGTAATGGTAAACCTGGACATCGGTAATCCTGAAAGCCATCAGGAAAGAGAAATGTTCAGTAAAACACGATCAATTATCATTTTTCCGGCATCATTGTGAAAATGCCACAGCTTCAATGTCAGAGATGAAAGCAGAGAAGTTAAGGAATTGAAGACAACCGCGAAGAACTTATAGATGCTGAAGACACAACAAAATTGTCTGAAGACTTTTCACCGATGGAAGCCACCAAAATCTGGTGTGCTCTCCTCCTCAGCTCCGTTGAACGCAAAGAAGGAATCTCCAGTTGGTGGTTGTTTCTCCGGAAATATGAGCATCTGACGAAGGCCATGAATTACAAGCCAATCACTGTAATACATGTCAGGAAATATGACCGGAACTCCGTTGATCATAAGCGTATCACCCGTTGCTGTGATACTGATCGTAAAGCCCTTGGAGAATGTCTGCAACACCGTTCTGTCGTCAAGGCCGGTGAGATCCGTCCAAGTAAGCCTGCAGGGAAGAACATGCCGGAGAAAGACCGAGGAGTATTCCCTGTAACTCCCAAGACGCTCCTCCATCGCTTCATCAATTGGCGCAAAGACTGTCAGCTTCATCTGAGCTTTCAAGTCTATCAGTTGCAGATCAAGAAATGTGGCCATCACAGAATAGCCTCGTGATAGGAGTAGTTTCGAAGCTGCAGAGAAAGAGCCACCAGCTTCGGAAGTGGAGGAATGATCGTGCACATCTGGAGTTACTGTGCATGCGGAAGCCAAACTGTTCGGTTCTGGAACTGAGGAGAAAGGGAGCTGGTAAGAAGGATCCAAGAAGTCATCTATTCCGTAGATGACCAAGGATCCATCATCGTAAATTGAGGATTCGTTGATCTTGACGTCATTCAGGGAAGTCTGGGGATCAGAGGTCGATGTCGTGACAATGAGAGAATGATCGGACAAGGTAGGGATCTTGTTGCCGAACGCAAGGGAGCTGAGGTTTGCGATCGAGAGTCTCTGTGGTGAGAAGTGGTACAGGAGGAGAGAGAGAGATGGCTGGCCTGATCGAATGAAAGCGTCGTCGGAAGGAGAGAAAATCGTTGCAGACGAAGAACGGACGTCCAGGGTTCGACAGAGGAGTTGAAGGGTTAATGCCATGGATACGTAACTAGAATTCGAAAGAGCTGCGATAGCATTGGGAATTGTTTCGGGACACGGGGGAAGGAGGGTGGAGATGGGGAAGAAAGAGAAAAGGATCAGAGATGTGAGAAGCAAAATCGCCATTAATGGCGTTTCTACGATGGAATCGCAAGGGGGAAGGACTGAAGGAGAACGGGAGGACTGACGAGTGAAGGGGATATGCTTTTGACGGTTTGGACTAGGGAGGGCGTGAGCTTTAATTTAATTTAAAGCAAAACTCAAAGTTCGGGTGGGAAACGATGGAACACGTTTCTGCTTCCTATTGGCTAGAAATGTGATGCGAGGTTGCTATTTGCTAAGTTTGTTATATTCGGTTGATGATTTGTTCGATCATGATTCAATAAGCTCAGCTGCATCGTTACCTCCAGAAGGTTGAGCTTTTGAATTTGTAAGAGCCATTGATATAACAAAGAAATGGTTTAAACACTAAGATCGTGACCACCAACTGATCGATCAGACATTGATCAGACAAAATATTTTCGAACACGCTACCGACATGATCTCCTGTCATGAGACTGGGACCATTATGAGATTTGCGGTGTCGGATCACGTTACAAGCATATCTAGAAGACTAGAACGATTAGTGGGATTTAAACGAAATTAGTGATAGTTCTTTTCTTGCCTTCTTGCAATGTTGCAAAGAATCCAGATCACCGCACAACAAAGCACGTTCAAATCCTCTACGAACATGATCTTACACCGCACGTCTCATACATGATGAGTCACATTTTTATGATGGGTCCCAGTTTCATGGTGAGTTGTACGGTGTTGGATCAAGTTAGTGGAGGGTTGGGATGTTTGTTGGCTGAACACTGATTGGGTGGGTATTTTTCTTTAAAGAAGACAGGTTTTGGGATTCTATAATTCATGGTAAGGGTAGGGTATGGTATTAGGTTAATTCAACCCTCTCCAATTCATATAAAAGCAAGCAAACTTTTTTGTATTTAAAGTAGAATTGAATAATATTTTGAATTTTATTTATATGTTTTAATCAAATAATTAGAAATTATATTGTTTATTTGTGATGATTTACTTATTTATTAATTATATATAACAAGAAATAATAGGAAATTAGATGTATGTTCAAAACCCAACCTACCCTACCCTTGAATGTAGAGGTGTCAATTGGATTGGATTTGGTCTAATCCGGTCTAGTCCAATGTGAGTCCATTGCAAATGGACCTGGTCTAATCCAGTCCAATGAATATTTTGGACCATTTTGGACTATTCCAGAGATTGCCCAATCTATTCAAATTCTTGTTAATTTAGATTGGTTTCAACTCAAACCTGGTCCATTGACACCTATGTTCTTATCTTCTATCAATGGATCAGATATTGGCTCAATCCAATATAAATTCATTATGGGTGGACTAGGTCCAATCCAATATGTCATATTGGTCTGTCCAATCTGTCCAAATTCAATACGTCTTATTGGTTTGTCCAATCCATCCAAATGGATTTTGATTTGGACAGAGTCCAACCCAAAACCGGTCCATTGAGACCCCTACTTGAATGTGAAAATGGTAGAGTCAGGGAGGGTTTTGCAATTTCATGTGCAAAGAGGGTTTGAATTCTCAAAATCCAACCCACTATGGATTTTGGGCAAGTATGACCAAGAGGTTTTGGGAGGTGGGTAGGGTCTAAAATTTACAAAACCCTCTCGGGATTCACCCCATTGCCATCCCTAAGTTAAAGTATACAAGTGATGCTGCTCAATCCGAGGTAGTGCACGAACTAGGGAGAGCAACCAAATAATCCTTGCTGACTTGGCGGTGCCGAGCTTACAAGGACAGTGTCGCGCTATGTAATTTGCGATCAAGAGAAGAAGTCAGAGGCCCAAGGAATTATCCCCATGTAGGTACTCCGACGCTCAAGTCAGTGAGAGGGCGGTGAATGGTCGGGCCGAGCAATGAGGGTGCTGGTCCGAGCAAAGTAACGGTGTGGGTGCTAGAAGTCGGGTCCCTTACCTTGGGCATGGTGTACCTTTTTATAGCCGAAGATCCGTGCCTTGGTCAGATTAGGCTTCCAGGGTTGTCGGGATAAGGTCATCCGCTGAGGTATTCGGGATGGGGTCCCGTTCCCCAGAGGAGTTGTCTTCTTTACTCCTCTTTATCCGCAGTTGTACTCATCCGTGTGACCTGTAGCTGACGTGGTGAAAAGGATAAGGTGGGGACCACAATAGTAGCGTAGCTCAGCTGAACTATGCCAACGTGGTTGAGCTATGACGACGTGGCCGAGCTATGCCGATGTGGTCGGGTGATGACTGGGCGGCCACGTGTCTCTCAGGACCAGCTTAGCCATGACCCGAACACCACCCCCAGTTCTGAAGTCAAGGAATGAAGTAGTCCCAATTCGTTTCTCGGCTGAGGAACTTCCGAGCTGTTGTCTGGTTCTTCCGCTGTCTGCACAGTGTTGGTCATTGCCGAGGAATCCTCCGATCGTCGACTACAGAACTTAAATAAGAACAAAAATTTCGGTTCCCGAACCACTCCCCAAGTTCTGCTGTCGAGGAAGGGGAATGCTCAGCCGGACTATTGCGTGACCGTGTAGCCTTGTCTGGCATCGGGGCTCGGCTTCGGTTGGTGTTAAGTCTTCTGGTTGGGCCGGCATTCTTGGGCAGCCCCTCCGAGGGTCCGCGTTGGTGGTTAGACCAGTACTGAGGGTCGAACCGGTGCAATTAATGGTCGTATCAGTTGCATGTTGGGGTCGTCGCTTCGGTTTCTAACGCTTTGCACATGCATCAGAGGTCACGTCGATTGGTCTTTCGAGACGTTGTCAGAGGTGTTTCATCTATACCATTGATATCTCCTTGGTCTGTGCCCCTGGTGGCTATAAAAGAAAAGGGGGGGACCCCCTCCTCTGTGTCGTTTGCAAGGGAGGTAGCTTTCATTGCTCGACGAAGTGTGGCGTGATTGCTTAGTAGTGGTTGCTCGGCAGTTTTCCATTCCTCGGCTCGGTATGCCTTCCTTACCCCGTCGATCCTCTTCCTCTTCCGGGTCCTCCAGTAGTGGTTCAGGTTCCAACTCTTCCCATGGCTCCAACTATGAGCCGGAGCTGAGGGATTTTGTGGCTGCCAAAGTCGAGGAGGCTGAGGCTGGACCTTCTGGGACGGAGGTGGAACTCCCCCTGTGGGCAAGTCGTCGGTTTGGCACCACGCCCTACGCCTTGGCTCCCGGGGATATGGCTCAGATCCGAGCAATGTATGTCATTCCCGCGGAGTTCCAAATGAGGTGTCCACAACCCAGCGAAATGGCCACTAATGCTCAGCCCGGCGAGATATGTGTGTACGAGCATAGCTTGGAGGCTGGGATGAGGTTCTCATTGAGCGAGGGGGTCGCCGAGGTACTAGGCTGGTATAGGGTGTTGTCCGTGCAGTTGATGCCGAACTCCATCAAGTCCTTGCTCGGCCTCATGTCCTACTGTGCGGTCTGTGATATCGAGCTAGCCCTAAGGATGGTAAGCTTTCTGCTTCAATTGAAGCACCATCAGCAGGGCTACTACTATTTTTCCAATAGGCAGAATCTCCAGTCGCTGGTCGAGGCTCCTTCTCCTATGAAGCACTGGAAGGAGTCGTTCTTCTTCGTGCGCATTCCTAGGGGTCTCCTTTCTCCGACCGAGCTACGGAAGCTGAGGACAACTGTGTCGTAGCCCCAGTGGATGACGTTTACTTGGGAGGAGAGGTCGGCCCTGAGCATGATGCATGAGATAGATGTTATTGCGTACACATGCTCGGAGATGTTGATGCTCACCAGGTTGATGGAGAGGGTGGCCGGTCTGTTTCTTTTACTGTTTGTTTGCTAAGCCACTGTTCCCTTGTTTGTTTTCTACTTATCTCGGGCGTTCTGTGGTGCAGGTATAAGGATGGCCAGCAAAGAAGGGATTGTTCATCGGATGAGGGCACTTCGGTAGCAGTAGGGGCGAGATGGTACGCAGCCAAAGGCTCAGCCTGAGGTAGCGGACCAGCCACGATCCGCAAATAGGACGACACATCAAGAAAGGAGAATTCGGCAGCGAGAGGCCGAAGAGGACGATGTTGTCGTGGTTGACCCTAAAGGGGTTCGTGTTGACGATGACTTGGAGACGCCTAGGGTTCCTGAGCAGTTGCTGCGAGGGATTATGACTATGTCAATGGCTCAGGCGTCAATCAGGGTTGGCAGCGGAGCCTTAGAGTGCGTGCTTTTGCAGTCTGCTGCCCAGGTGAGTTCCTTTCTTTCTTACCCCTTGTGTTTTGCTCTTTTTTTGTGGCTGTATACTCATTCTCTTCTGTAGAATGCTTGTGCGGCGGTCACATTGGTCGATCGCCACCGGGACGTTCGATCAATGTACGAGCGAGAACACTCCGAGTATCTGCGACAAAAGGCCCAGTTGGCCAAGCTTCAGGCTGTCAGGGAGCGATCGGCTGCACTAGAGAGAGTTGGCTGAACTTAGAGCTGTACGAGCAGGCCAGCGTTGTCCGCGGGCTGAGGCAGGAGATCCCTGAGCTGAAGGCGTAGTGGGAGAGGCTGAAGTAGGAGGCTGACGAGGAGGCAGTCAACTAATACAAGGCATCGGAGGAGATGCAGCTGCACATGGATGAGTACATTGAGGCTTCCTTCGTACCTGGATTTAACGTCTTTTGACAAAGGATCCCTTGCCGCCACCCGGAGCTGGCTGAGGAGTCGTAAGGCTAGGGAGCCTGCGATCAAGATACTCCGCAAGGTTCCGCAAAGGAAGCCGATGAAGAGGTTGGGAACGAGACTGAAGTTGTTAATGGGGCTACTGACTCTACCGCCGAGGATTGAGCGGTCGTTTCTTCCAAGTTATATTTTTTTTGTCTTTGTCGTGCTCTTCTTTTTTTCTTTTTTGTATTGGCTTGGTATGTGAAGCCATAAATGATGTAATGGACCATCTTAAGTTGAATATCAGCTCTTCTTTGTGTTGACTATATACATGCATCTTGTTGTTGCTATTTTTACATGTGCGTTTTTCTTTTTCCGTTTGAAGCATGCTCGGCCGGGTTATTACGCGTACCGAGATGGGCTATCCTTGTGCACTTTTGTTGGTCAAGCCAGGCTTTGGCTTGGGTATTCTAATCGTACTTGTGCAATTTTAGTTTTCTAGTCGAGGGATGGTTGGTCGGGCTATTGCGCAGGCCGAACCAGGCTATGCCTCGGTGTCC